CTCTTTGCTAGACACTCTTGCTGGACACTCTCGCTGGGCAGGACACTCTGCTAGACACTCTTGCTGGACACTCTTGCTTGACACTCTTTGCTAGACAATCTTTCTTGACAATCTTGCTTGACACTCTTGCTGGACACTCTTGCTTCACACTCCTGCTGGACACTCTTGACATGACACTCTTGCTTGACACTCTTTTTTGACACTCTTTGCTGGACAATCTTTCTTGACACTTTCTCTTGACACTCTTGCTTGACACTCTTGCTTGACACTCTTGCTGGACACTCTTGATTGACACTCTGCTAGACACTCTTGCTGGACACTCTTGCTTGACACTCTCTCTTGACACTCTTTGCTAGACAATCTTTCTTGACACTCTTTGCTGGACACTCTTTGCTGGACACTCTTTGCTAGACACTCTTGCTTGACACTCTTGCTTGGCACTCTTGCTGGGCACTCTTTGCTAGACACTCTTGCTTGACACTCTGCTAGACACTCTTGCTGGACACTCTTTGCTAGACACTCTTGCTGGACACTAGAAGCAGTCATGCGAGCGTTTCGTACGAGACTTCCTCCAAAAGTCAGGCCTCGAGGCTGCAAGACGAGCGTTTCGTACGAGACTTCCTCCAAAAGTCACGCGCACGAGACTTCCTCCAAAAGTCACACGTCAAGTCTCCAAAACGAGCGTTCCGTCGTACGAGACTTCCTCAAAAACTCACACGTCAAAGTCTGCAAAACGAGCGTTTCGTGCGAGACTTCCTCCAAAAGTCACGCGGAAACACCCATCGGAGCACACACATCACGCAGCCCTGCCAAGCAGTTTCGCGATTCCAGCCCCTCCAAACAACACCCGCTCACACGCCAATCCCAATGTGACAGCGACATTCACCTCAACCACAACTCACAACCTCCCGATCCCTGTGCCTGCCACAAATCTTTCCGCGTCCACACGTCTAACGCGCGCAAAGTACTGCGCCTGCCACGAAATGTCACCTCCGTCACACCTCGCAACCTCACGATTCCCTGTGCCTGCCACGAGAATCGCACTTCCACGCTTCAAAACCCGCACAAAGTACTGCGCCTGCCAAGAAAAGTGACGATATCATCGCATGTGAGCTTCAACAAAATTTGCACCAAACCACACGTTTGGAATGATTTCGACCCGTTCTGAGCACACTCGCATCCACCAAAATCGCAATTTCAGCTGAGACTTGTCACGAAAACAGAGCTTCGATGCCACACCCTGAAACGCAAATCCCAATGGCACGGCCACATCCAACACCCCAAAAACACGACTCTCCAAACGCTAATCCCAATGGAATACCGACACAAACGTGTCACTTTCACGCCCTGCGCCTGTGCAGCGAAATGCATCACATTTCTTGCGCGACATGTCACTTTCATGCAAATCACAATGTAATCGCGGTGCAAACTGACACGTGCCACATCCATGAAAAGTCACTTGCAAAAGCTTCCCCCAATGGCAGGGCCATAGAGACATCATACGGACGGTTGCGGACGGTTGCAGACGGTTGCAAACGGTTGCGAACTCGAAAACAACGTCGGGCAAACACAGCTCTACCCTCAGACTCCCAAGTTAAACAAGAACCCTTCGCTACGCATTCGGGAAAAGCCATGAGTATCCAAAAAGTCTAGAGCCAATCAGCTATCCAGGTTTGGAACTGGATCTGACTTGTTGACTTAGATCTGATTCATTTCTCACAAGCTTTTACTTCACCTCATATCTCATACATTCTCATGCTGTATCTCGCGCAAACGACCTTCGCGCCTTTGCTTTCAGCTTGGTCTCAAAGGCCGAGTTCTTGTTGCCCATCGCCTTCGAGAAAATATCGCAGAGCTGCTTTAAAAATCACAAACATCAAGTGCATCAAGTTGTCTGGCATTCTTTGGAACAAAAATGTCTCACGAACTGAGTCGACTACTAGCCACCGAGGATCCGAGATCCAAGTGTCGAACGAATGAATTTAAGGCCACGCCGCGTAAGCAACACGTGGAGTCTCAGAATTCTTAGAAGACCCTACCACAACCTTCGGGCGCCTGCTAGGACCTTTCTCGGATTGGGACACTGCTTCAGCACAATGCATGGTTCTTGTATTTGAAGATTTCTGAGCTAAAGAGTCTGCACATATACCTTTTCAAGTCGGGACAAAAATGTTAACGGATGCATGCCCTGGCATCTACAAAGAAAAAGAGACTTGGACAAGTGCATCATTTCTTTCTGGCATGAGCCATTCTGTTTAGTTCCCAGTGGGAGGTCTCTTATCTCTCGGTTGGAGACTCTATATACATCGAATTGACTGGAACAGCCCAAAATTGATGAGTCGATGAGGTGTTCGGTGTGTTTCACAAATGCTACGTTTCGCATTTGTTTCACCGTCTGCAATGTGAGAGCTTGTTGAAATCAACCAATCATTATCATTATATAATGAGTACCAAGTGTTGGTTGCTGAAGCCAAATCGAATATCTCTCACCAGTCACTTGCAGGTCCTCCTGTTCCCATCTCCAGGGCTCAGTGGACAAATGAAGACTCCATCTACAAATCCTCCTTTTCTTCCTTGGCATCATCTTCGCCCTCATCACCATCATCCTTGTCCTCCTCTTCAGGTTCCTCTTCGTCTTCAGGCACCTCAATCTCCTTCAGCGGAGCATCTGGATTCACACCAAGCTCCTTAGACATGAGCTTGTACACGTGGCTAACCAGGGCAGATGGGTCTGCAATCTCATAGCC